ATGTTGATAAACGGATTTGATCAACGTTCACAATGTAATATTAACGCAAAAGATTGCAAAAAATGAGATTTTTATTGAATATTTCGAAGTCGGTTTTAATACAAAGAGGTCGGTTTTTTATGAATTTCAAGTCGGTTTACGATGAGATATCCGAGGTGAATATATGAGCGTATATGATCGTTTTTCGAACCCTTCTCTCGTTTTCGGAACTACTATTTATAGGTATGTTTGGCACACATCCCTAGACAAATCATTCCCGTTTTAATGAAGATTTGACATCTTAGGGGCGGCGATGACGTAGAAGAACCTTGTAGGCAATGATTAGCATGGGCGCGCCTCTATCTGTGTGACGAGTGTCACATCTGTCGGATCGAAGTCGGTTTGTCTTGCGATGTCGGCATTTTGATTAATTTCCGATATTCTGCGACTTCTTAATAAATAATTCTCTGACCGAATTGGCCTTCTTCGAGGTTCAGACGACTTGTGTCGATGACCTTCCAAATATCCGTGATCTCTTATTGGCACCGAGGTGAGGTTACCGAGATGCTGAATGTATTGCTTGACGTCGTCCAAAATCTAATTTATGCATTAATCTTCGCGACTTCTTTAATTGTATTGTAACATCGAAGTATTCTATCTTGATGTCAACATTGTGCATCTAATGTGTAATTATTATTTAAAAATTAATTTCATTAAATTATAATTTACATTCATGTAATAAAATACACATACATTAAAAGTTGATAAATTGTAAAATAGGCCCTAAGGATTATCTAATTTTCATTTGAGAGCCCCACAATCAATTAAAACTCCAACACGCAACACACTCTTCTCCATAAAAACTCACGCTCGTCTAAACTAGTTGATGGATCTCCGGTCGTCGGTAGTCGCGTCCGAGCCGCCGGTGAACCTCTCGGCCGTTGTTTTCCCTACTAACCCCTCTCCGGTTATCAATTTCATCATTTTTCACTTTCAATTTTGATGGGCCGACCTTGTCCCGAATTTGTATCTCCGGCGACTTCGGTGTCTTCGTCGTCTCCGCCCAGTGACCTCCTCCTCCAGTACGAGCAGGTATTCCGTTCAAGCAGTTTGACGACGATGTAGAAGAGATTGCATGGTTCGTCTCCGAGGGCGATTTCCGGCGACTACACGGAGGAACAACGCGGCTGAATTTTCTGCAGATGAAGACGATGGCGGCTTATGAGCTGACTGCGGAAGTCGGTGGCAGCCGGTTACCCAATGGCGGCGGCGGGAGACGAGTGTTTGCTGTGCGGCAGCGCCAAACTCCATGATCGACGGCGGAGCTCCCTTTGGCCGCTTCTAGGGTGGTCGACGGTGGAGCTGAGTTCTCCAGTGCTGGACGTGTTCGACGACATTGATGTGGCCGCCGACGCCGTCGATGGGCTGACGCCGGTGACTGTGTGAGGTGCCGGAGGAAACATCTTTCTGTTGCAGGTGAGTGTGCATGTTTGAGTGTGTGTGTGTGTGAGAGAGAGAGAGAGAGAGAGGTGAGAGGGGTGGGGGTGGGGAAGGTGTCAGCGTGGATGTGGATGGTGGGATTTATAAGCGTGGGTCCCACATGTTAGTGGGTTTGAATCAAATGTCTAATTTATCCTTAATATGTGGCCAAATGTCTATATTTGACAACGAATTGTACACTTATTTACAAAACTGCCACAGTATATTTGACTGCATATTTATTATTTGACTAAATCCTGAACATTAATTTGATTGATCGAATGATCTAGAGTCATTCTTATTTCTCGCATTAAGAGTCATTCTCATATGATCCCTTCTCTCTCTCGGGTCACGCTCCGGTGAGAATGGTGCTTAGTGAAATAAATAAGATTAAATCATAGTCACTGGATTGGATGATTCAACGATTATAAAAAATACAGTTTTTATATATTCATTAAGGGTATTTTAGACATTTTATAATTAATTGTGGGACCCATATCATTTAACCATTCACGTACACCCACTGATAATATGACATGTGGCCACTACAACGTTCCACCTACCCCCTCTCTCCCTAATATCTATTTCTCTCTCTCTCTCACAGTTACACACACTTCACACGCACACACACAGAAACACATTTACACGCACTCGTTTCCACCGTTGCCTACCATCGCCGGAATCGACACCGTCCTGTCGCCGTCGCGTTCCTCCTCTGCCGTCGTCCTACTTCTGCTCCGACGGAATCGAAGCCGTCCCGTCACCGTCGCGTTCCTCCTCTGCCGGCTTCCTATTTCTTCTCCGACGGAATCGAAGCCGTCCCGTCACCGTCGAGTTCCTCATCTATCGGCGTCCTATTTCTGCTCCGACAGAATCGAAGCCGTCCCGTCGCCATCGTGTTCCTCCTCTGTCGGCGTCCTGTTTCTACACCGACCACCACCGTTTTTCATTTCACACTCTGCACACATATTACACACACACACACACAGCACGCCCACAGCCTAAAACCACCGCTCGTTGCCGCCGACAAGGACTTCACACTGGCGCACCGCCCCAGCGCCGCCCACAGCCACAGCCAAATCCTGCCACCCACACCCGCCGCCCGCCATTGCCGGTTCGACATCATTACCGCCGTCAATTGCCGACGAATTTATGCCATTTGCTTCTGCCGGCGAGTTGTCTCCGACACGCAGTCTTTCTCTCCGGCCTCCGATGAAGAGCACGACGCTCTCCTTCTCTCCTTTTGACGGCTCTCCTTCACATGGCAGTTTCAAAATTTTCGACCCGATTTCAGCCAATCGGTCGAGGGCAGACCCGATACATCTCCGGCGAGCAGCGGCACGTCTTGTCCAGCTGGGCGGTTCTGGGAAGCATACACGGCGGCTGAATCGATTACTGTGATGGTCCGATAGCCTGAACTTCTTGTTGGATTTGGGGCTTATTTTTTTGGAAATTCGATAATGTATAGGGCCTAATTGCAATTTCTTAAACTTTAGTAAATTATAATTGAGTTCATAGGCCAAATTTACAATTTACTAAAAATATAGTTGCACATAATGTTCAATTAGTTGGACATTCACATTTGGGATGACATAGATTAGGATGTTTTTTATACTGCACATTAGCGATGGAACTAACATGTTTAAAATTTTCGGTCTGAATCTTTAAATCGATTGGATTATATGTTTTTAATATATATATATAAATATTTCAGTTTTATGTCAGATTTATTTTCTTAAAATAACCGAAAAAACCGAACTATATAAAAAAATATTATTTGTTATATATATATATATATATATATATATTAATTCTTTACAATAAAAAAAAAATTATGAACTATTAAAAAAACATTCAATATATTAATATATTCTTTATAACATAATTGTAAATTATTTCGTTATTTAGGTTAATTCGGTTACCACGCAAATAAATCGATTATTTGGATTGCACTAAAAAAATATAACTGCGCCTCGAGTGCACATTAGTGTTAGATGGATTGCACTTTATAAAACAACGCGTTGCACTTTATCAATACACTCCACAATTAACATCAACAGCTTCCCGCAAAAAATACCACACAACATAAATCTAAAAACAGATATACATACTTTAACATCAATCACATCGTTTATCCATACGAAACACAAGAATGATAACATACCAAACTTGCAGTAGTTTACTTTATAAAACAACACGTTGCACTTTAAAATACATTATGTTGCACTTTATCATGACTGTCATATTGCACAATAAATATCGAAACCGACCGAACTCAAATTTTTTTAATAAAAAATAATACAAAAGTAATAAATAAAATTATTAGCAAATAAAATATAATTTCTATATAAATGGTATATTATTTCAATTATTTATGATACTTCGGTTAATCGAACCGAATAAACCAATTAATCACGATCATGTTCAATTTGACTTGGGACAAAAGTTCTGCTGGTCCATTATGCACAATACAGACCGATAACAAGCACTTTATTGATGGATGAATTGCACCTTAATAACTGTTAGATTGCACAGTATATTCGTTTACATATATACAATGTTTTTTTGTTCATTAAAAAAAAAACTAATATATAATATCAAATAAATAAATATTAACTACTAATCATGTTTTTTATAATAAATTATATAATTTATGTAGGTTATTTTGGTTATCTATGTTAACCAACAAATTAACCGATCATGTTGAAATTTCAACGTCAACCAGTTAACAATTGTGCATTATGTGGGGCGGTAACACTACAAGAAAATGTTAAAATAACTACAAAATTTACCTAGACAATTGTTTTCTAGGTAAATAGCAAGATTTTACCAAGATAATACCTACAAAACATGACAAATTTATAATAAAATCATACTACAACAAATTAGCAACAAGAATAGTACTACATAATAATATGTAGGTAATTTGTTGGTATTTACCTACAAAAAAAATTTTGTAATTAAATACCAACAAATTACCTAGACATTTCCTACACTAACACACATGGAAGATTTCCTACAAATTTTATGTCGGTAAAATACCAACAATAAAAGTTTGTTGGTAAATACATACAAATTACCAAGATACTCATTACATATAAATACATTAAATTGTACCTAGAAAATTTGTCTAGGTATTTACCTACAAAATATTTCTAGGAAGATGCCTACATATTACCAACAGAAACTGTATCCCAAGAAAATATGCCTACAAACCTTTATATAGGTAAAGTACCTACAACAATATTTTCTTGGTAAATACCTATAAATTACCTACAATTTCCTTACATATTAATAAACGAAAGTTTACCTAGAAACCTTGTCTAGGTACTTTACCTACAAAGTGTTTCTAGGAAAATTCCTACACATTACCAACAAATATTGAATCTCAACAAATTTCCTACAAATGTTCATGTAGGTAAAATACCTACAGGATTTTTTGTCGATAATTACCTACAGATTTCCTAGACTTTCATTACATATTAAGTCCTTCAAGGACTTAATTGCAAATTCTTAATTTCAATTAAGTCCTTCAAAGACCACTTGATTTGGTATTATTTTTATATTTTTTTATATACTGTTACTTTTCAGCAAAACACAAGTATATAAAATATTAAATAATAAATATATTTTTATAATAAAAATCATATATTTAGTTGTTATGATTGATTCCCGTAACCGACCCAATAAACATATTATTTCGGTTCGATTTTATATTTATTCGAATCAACAATTCTAAGGAAAAATTGCACCATTCGTCCACTAATTATACCCAAGTTGCACTTTCGTCCTTTAATTATTTTTTTTTTACTTTTGGTACACTATCATTTTTTTTTTGGCAATTTTCGTCCAAATCGAGGTTCCGGTGCTCATTTTTGCCGGAAAAGCTAATGTGGCACCGGAAAAGCTGATGTGGCGCACAATCCGACTGGGCGCCACATCAGCTTTCCGGCAAAAATGAGCACCGGAACCTCGATTTGGACGAAAATTGCCATAAAAAAATGATAGTGTACCAAAAGTAAAAAAATAATAATTAAAGGACGAAAGTGCAACTCGGGTATAATTAGTGGACGAATGGTGCAATTTTTCCTAATTCTAATAAATGCACAATTTCTACATTAAATTTTTTTATATATAATATAGAATGCACAATAGTGATAGACATATCATACAATAATGTATATGGGATTGCACTTTAGCGTAACGCTAGCGACTAAAATAGTCATGTGTGAAAAAATTAAAATTTACCATATTTTTTCGGTTTCTCACATTATTTTCGCGCGGTAATTTCGGTTCATTTTAAAATTTATATATTTTGATTATTTCGATCAAAATTGAAAGAGTCGAGCTATATGAAAAATATGACTATTATGATTTATATACTTTTATGTATTGCGATTACACATTATAATTATATGGATTGCACCTTAATCACTATATGATTCCGTTGGAGGTTGGTGGTGGTGATTCCTATGGTGACATATAAGCATTCTTTTCATTGTGTGTGTGTGTGTGATGACATTATTAAATATGTTAAGCGAAAAAATAAATTGATATCCCGTAGATAATTAGTACGTATTAACTGAAAATGAGAGACTAGCTCTCTAATTAAAATTCAAATTATGAAACATATGATTAATATTGAAAATATATGATTTTATGTTCACTGCTTGATACATTTTCTAATTCAAATGCAAATTACGTATAAAATTAATCATACGATATTCATAGATAATTAACCATATAATTTTTTTATATTTACCATAATAATGAGATACAGTCAGATACAATAATATACTTAATTTCATGGATTGACAACGTATGATTTGATATTGTCGGATTAACATCCATATTGTATGTATAAAAGAAAATAAATTATATTTATTTTTATAACAATAATAAATTATATTAATATTAATTAGAAAAATAAAATTACAAAATATTTCTAGGAATTTACATTTCAAGATATTTAAATCACTAATAAAATTAAAAATAAAAAATAAAAAACTTAACACCCAAGAGATTTAAATCCAAAATAAGATAAAAACAAAATAAAATATACTTAATTTCATGGATTGACAACGTATGATTTGATATTGTCGGATTAACATCCATATTGTATGTATAAAAGGAAATAAATTATATTTATTTTTATAACAATAATAAATTATATTAATATTAATTAGAAAAATAAAATTACAAAATATTTCTAGGAATTTACATTTCAAGATATTTAAATCACTAATAAAATTAAAAATAAAAAATAAAAAACTTAACACCCAAGAGATTTAAATCCAAAATAAGATAAAAACAAAATAAAATATACTTAATTTCATGGATTGACAACGTATGATTTGATATTGTCGGATTAACATCCATATTGTATGTATAAAAGGAAATAAATTATATTTATTTTTATAACAATAATAAATTATATTAATATTAATTAGAAAAATAAAATTACAAAATATTTCTAGGAATTTACATTTCAAGATATTTAAATCACTAATAAAATTAAAAATAAAAAATAAAAAACTTAACACCCAAGAGATTTAAATCCAAAATAAGATAAAAACAAAATAAAACAAAGAACCTGTTAGGTCTCGATCACAGGACATCTAAATGAAGAGGTGAGCAAAATTACCACTCCACTCTCTTAACTTTGTATATAATGGTGTTTATAGTTTTTTAAGTACTTAAACAAGAAATAAATCTGAAAAAGTAATAAAACCATCGAACAGCCCTAGGTTTTATCAGTCACCTCTATCAACTTTTTTCAGTCTCCCGCGCACATTCTCCTCGCTCTCCGTCTCTCCACATTTTCACCTTAGCCCCTCTCGCTTCTCTTCTGACCGATACAAAGGCTCGTCGTCCCCCTGGAACCTCCGACACAAAGGCTTTGCGCCTCTCCTCGTCGCCCCGCCTTTGGGGCACCGCCTCCGACGCCTCGACTACCCGCTTCCAACCCCACTTTCAGATTTAAAGGTAATTACTAATTTTTTAAAAAATTTAAAACAGTATCTTTCTTCCCTTTCACTTAGTCATATGTTCTTGTTCAGTTGTAAGTTCTAGGAATTGTGTTAAGTTAAATTTAATTGTGATATATCTTACCCGCCTGAAATTGTTGTGCTTTAATTTGGCCCACTATATTGTTTCTACATTGGCAAGCTCACTATTTTATGTATTTGCAGTAGTGTATAGCAAGTAAGTTAGGGATTCCAGCCAAGCAGTCGTTGTTCAGCCGCTGCCACCAGCATCCGTCCTCTCTATTCCATCAATTCGAGCCTAAAATTCTCGCTGAACTCGTCTCCCAAATACGGGTGTGTGTCTCCATCTCTCTCTGCGTGTGTGTATATATGT